AGACCTTTCAAAAGCATCAAATTTTATTTTGAGAAACACAACAGAGATGTTAAAGTATCCTACTGAATATTTATTTATATATAATATTTCATAATGTATTATGGTGACCTGTTATTGGCCTGTGACCTTACCATATCCTAGACTCATAACTTTAGATAGGGAAAAGAATCTTAGACATCATTTAATTCTTCTTTGGCATATGAGGTAATTAAATCAGATGTGTTCAGAGATTTGTTTAGGGTTTTACAGCTAGGTAGTGGCAAGTTACCAATAGATTCTGGGCCTGCTCACTTTTACTTCATTCCTCATTTAACCTGGTGTCATTAAACCACACATTTTCCTCCCTCAGAGTCCTTAGGAAATATATTGTTTCTCATAATACAACAGATTTTGGTATTTCCTGGCCAGCTCAGCAGCATTTTCCTTGATGAAAATTTGGCTTCCATTGCCTAAAAATTGAGACACCAAATCTGATACCTGAAGGCTGTTGTGTAAATCAATGTCAAAATTTTTAAAATATCAAGTCCCAAGAAAAGAATGCCACCCAATGTTTTAACCATCAAAGAAAATTAGAATGATATAGAGTTTTTGTTTCACGTAGTACATCTTGAGAATTATGCTAATGTCTTCAAAGGAGAGGATTGATCATCCTGTTGTTATACTGGAGGAAAATAAATTGTCAATGTTGTCCTCCAGCCAGAGACCACAGGACACACACACCCATCGTTGAACAAAGTTGGGTTTATTGACTTGTGGCCAACAAGAGAAAACACATACCATGGAGAGCTGTCGGTCATTCAGTAAGCGGGTGTTAGAAAGGACTTAAAGCACCTTGGCTTGTGTTAGGTGTTTTTTGAGGAGGGTTCAAGGAAGAGTGCTTTGCTCTGAATTGGACCATGCCAAGAAGCATAGGCAACTCTACGACTGTGTATTTCAGTAAGTCTTATCTAGGAAGTGGAGAGAATAGAGCAAGACAAAGCCATGATTAGTAAAAGAGCAGCAAACACTCATATTGGCGACAATAAGGGCATTTCTGAGTTTTGGACAATACTGTTTTGGTCTGAATACAGACATGATTACAAAGGAACTTTGTTTTTGTCTTGATCTATCAGGGTCACAGAGTGGCCTTGTCTGGTGTTGGTGTGCTATGAAATTGATTATGTTCAGCATGAGAATGCCAAGGCCTAGCTGTGAATGCGGGCCAACTCCTAGGAACACCAAGGCCTGATGGGGCCAGGTCAGTGCCAAGCTATCAGCAGCTGCTTTTCTCTCTCTCAAATGGAAGTAAATTTGTTTGGCTTTTCAAATGTGGTGGATAATGCAGACTAGATCTTTGCTTTTCTAGTAAAGGAAGAGTGAAGACCACTAAGCATAGAATGTATAGGTCTATAGACCTTTATTTACAATTCCATAATTCAAGTATCTCTTTATTCATTTGGTGGCAAAACTTAACCAGAAATGCTGTCATGCTGTTTACTCATTATTTCTCCCATTGAAATGTTTTGCTGTAGGAATCAACTATGGTTGATTACACGTACTTCTGATGGGAGTGATATACCTGGTCTGGACCTAAGGGGGGTGGAGCTTGTACTTGACTTTAAAGACAATGTCAAATATTTGCCCTCTGAGTATTGAATTACTTTTTAAATAAGGATGTTTGTACTGTAGTCATTGAGCTTAGAGATTGTGTAATTAATATGACATGTTATCTTAAATTGGGAAGCATTGATAATAACAATAAAAATTTGTCACTGAGCACTTAACTATATGCCAGGAATTATGCTAAGCATTTACATGCAATATCTCCTTTAATTCTCAAACCAACTCTTATGAGGTAGAACACATCACTCTCCCTCTTTTCAAGACAAGAAACCGAGGCTTTTATAATTGCCCAAAATCCAGCGGCTTGTAAATGAACAAGGAGTCAAACCCAGAGAATCTTTCTCCAGAGACTTTGATTTCCTTCTTACCATAATTTTGGAATACAGAAGGCTCATCTCCTTTATGTGCTTTCTCCAACTGGCTCAGGGTCATTTTGGTGGGAAGCACACGGGCCATTTCATTTGTTGTATCCTTCCTCATACAGACCTTCCAGAAAGGCCCACATCAAAGATTTCAGCAAAAGAAAACCATTGTGATAGGGATCAGGCGTGCAGTGTGGAAAATCGGAGGCAGGGTTGAGTTGTTGCTGAATGACCTGGTCCCAGATGTAAATGACTTTAGAGCTCAGGATGAAGGATATCACTGGGCTCCCATGGTTTATTTATTTCTCAGATTATTCATTGATCTTGTCCTAGAGTCAACCTGCCTCTTCTTTCCCACAGGAAATTCCAGTTGTTAGTGCAAATGAACGTATAGAGGTGGCCATCGTGGAATTAATCATGGTAGCCAGGAACATTTACTGGGAAGAAAAAATATAACAAAAATAAACTGTCCTTTGCTTTTTTCTTTTTTTCCTTGTTTCTTTCCCACACCCCTCCCCCTTTCTCTTTTTCTTTCTCTCTCTCTAGCTTCCTCTCTGTCTTCTCGTACTTTTTAATCTGTATATTCCTAGCTAATATATGTTCATCATCTTCTTTCCTGTCTAATTTCTTTCAGGTAGTCATCTTTTCCTCTTCTTTTATTTTTTTCTACAGGTTTTCCCATTTGCTCTTATGGGAGAACTCACTGTTCTGTTTTCTGCTTATGCAGCAACAGTAATTCTGAAGTGTCCTATGCATATAAAGCTGCAGACAGACAGATGTTTTTGTACTTGTTTATTGGTAGTAAACTATTTGACAATGAAATAAGAAGTGTTTACTGTTCTTTATTCTTTATACCCACAAATGCCTCTATTTTACTCATATCAGAATTGCCTTATTAATAGGTCATGCATTTCAAAGGCAGTGGATTATGATTTTATTTTTCTGTGACCTTTGTCTAGCAAACAGTTTACTAAAGGCCATTTGCCTACTACATTGAGGGTGACAGAACAGGATACAGATATTCCCCGGTTCTTCATGGGCTAGACTTCAGGCATTCAGTCTACGGAACAGCGGACATAGTGCAAAATCCAGAGGGAGGAAGAGAAGGAATGAAAACTACCTGAAGGTGATGGAGCAACAGCTTCTGAATGTAAAGCAAGAGTCTTTGGACTATAAATAGATACCCATAGTCTGACAATGGCTGTATTTCCAATGGCTCCTCAGAAAGCTGAGAGGAAAATAAGGGTGGACTAGGGAAGAGAGAAAGGGGGAAATAAACAACCCAGAAAGAAGGAAGCAATGACGGAAGAGGTGCAGGATGCAGCGAGAGCATCCTAGATGGCACAGTAAGGACAGTGATGGCAGCCAAGACCAGGTGACAGCATTGGTGGCCAACAGCATCAGGTCTTTGAGGAAAGGAGGAAGCAGCAATGACTCAGGAGGAGGAGATAGCACACCTCTGCCCTTTGGACATGGAAGGAGCCATTTGGATTTCATTTGCTTCAAATACTACTACTTTCTGATGCCAGAAGACACAGTCAGTAGATTCTGATGCCGGATGATTCTGGAGTTCACCCTAAGTAGACAGAATCCATGGTCATAGTTGACATCATTTTTAACTACTTTATTATATATTGATTCAACCTGAGAATTGGGGTATTATTAAGAGTATAAAATACTTTGAGAACAAATATTAGGAGAGCTTTGGGCAAAATTGTGGGCTGGTGTCGGATATGCAAGAGTTTTGTTCTTATGAGAACATGTAGTATGCTGAGTAAGGCCTCTGGGCAGTGGCCTTGTGGAGTGACTCATGTCACCACCCCCAGAACCACACACCAAGTTCCATTTCTACAAATCAGGAAAAGATGTTATTTCTTCATAATCAATTAGCCACCTTATTACTGGTCAAAGAGATAAAAGAGAACAATCTGGTATAAATGAGCTTGCCATACCTCAGTGATATTTAGTGCTTGGACTGCTGTTGCCTAAAAGACCCTGATAGAAACAAGTTGAAGGTTTTGGGAGGATTTTGAAATCATTTGAGAAATGATAGCATAATTTATTTTGTGTATCAACTTTGCATATCATCCTTGAATAACATGTAACCTGATATTCTTCACTTTATAAGAAAAATAGAAGTGACCCACCACTAAGGACATTTGTAAAAAGCAAATTTTATTAACACATTTTTTTCTGCACTGTCATTATGTGCTTCCTCTGTGGCAGGCGTGGTACCAAGCAATTCCCATACATTACCTCTAATCTTGAAAATAGCTCTTCAGGAGACGTAGAGATATGGTTATCTCGTAGAGATGAGGAGATAGGAACTGAGGGAGGTTAGCAGCTTGCCAGAGGTTGCACAACTAGTAAGGGGCAGAGTCAAGATTCCAATGCAGATGTCCCTGGCTCCAAACTCTATTTTCCTCTGGGCTATCGCTGTCATTGCGCGGGACAACTAGATCAGAGTAACCTCTGGAACTACCAAGGGAAAGCCTGATTATGCTCAGTAGGTTTTTTTTGTTTGTTTGTTTGTTTGTTTTTGAGAAGGTGCAGATAGATGGTTTTTGTAAAATTTCCACTGTAAAAAGGTTAAAATAAAGTCTTAAAGTTTACTAAAGTTAGATTGCACCTCGCTTGGCTAGAATATGCTATCATCATCCATAGATTGTATTGATAACTAAGGTATTAGAGTGTAATTTTGTAAAATAGATTGAAGGCTTGACTTTAGATCTAAGGTTGTTTAGATAAATTTTATTGGTTGTATTTTGTTCAATTTGGTCAAAGTTGTGTTTCTTTCAAAATTTCTTGTATCTTCACGTATCGATTTATATTTATTTAAGGATCTTTATAAGACATCATCTATTAAACTTCAGTCTTTTTGTTTGATTATTAAAGGATGATTCTAGAAGTATTTTCATGGCATTTTGAGTTCAAGTTATGGTATGGTGTTTTACTCTATGCATATAAAATGAAAATAATTGTGCTCTATATGGAACATTATAATTTACTTCTTCATTTTTATGTTTCAAAATTCAGGTCCCAAGTCATTTGCAAAGTCATTTTCCAGTGGTTATCTAATTGGAGAAATTCTGCACAAGTTTGAACTTCAGGGTGATTTTTCAGAATTTTCAGAAAGCAGGTTAGTGCTTTCCTAAATTCTTTCCTAAATTCTTTCCTAAAAAGGGTCAATTCCTTTGGCATTTGGATGGCTTTAGTTCCCAAAGTTAAAGGATAGTGAGCTATAACTTTGTTAATTGGTTCTTCTTTCTTTTAAGAGAAATGAAGCAACTTACTGTATCCTGGCCAAAAACAAAAACAAAAACAAAAAAAAACAAAAACAAAAACCCTGTAATATTTTTTGTTTATAGCAGCTATGTTGAGATCTAATTCACAGACCATGATTTACCAGTTTAAAGCATACAGTTCAGTGGTTTTAAACATATTTACATATTTAGTATATTCACAACCATCACCACTAACCATCTGGCCCCTGGTACCCACTTATCTATTTTCTGTCTCTATGGATTTGCCTATTTTACACATTTCATATCAGTGGGATTGTACAATATGTGTATTTTGTGATTAGTTCCTTCCACTTAGGATAATGTTTTCAAGGCTTATCCATATTATAGCATGTATTAGTACTTCTTAATTCCTATTTAGTTGCTGAATACTTTCAATTGGATATATCACATTTCATTTATCAATTCATTAATTGGTGGATACGAGTTATTGGTTATTATGAACAGCACTGCTATGAACATTGTGTTTTTACATGGAAATGTTTTCATTCATCTTGGGTGTATACCTAGGAGTTAAATTGTTGGGTTACATGATCTATGTTTACAATTTTGAGGAACACCCAAATTGCTTTCCAAAGTGCCCATTATCATTTACATTCACGCTAGTAATGTAAGGTTTCATTTTTCCACATCCTCATCAATACTTGTTATGGTCTTTTTGATTATAGTTGTCTAGTCAGCATGAGGCAGTATCTCTTGTGATTTTGATTTGCATGTCCCGAATGAGTAATGATGGTAAGCATCTTTTCGTGTGCTTATTAGTCATTTGTATAGCTTCACTGGGGAAATGTTATGCAATCCTTGCCTATTTTCTTTTAAATTTTATTTTTTAAAGCAGTTTCAGATTGACAGAAAAATTGAGAAGAAAGCACAGAGATTCCCTGTTAACCTCCTGCCCTGACACATTCATAGCCTCCTCCAGTATCCACTCCCCAACCAGAGTGGTGCATTTGTTACAGCTGATGAACCTATAATGATACATGTTTACTCAAAGTAAATAGTTTACATTAGGGTTCATTCTTAGGGTTGTACATTCTATGGGTTTGGACAAATGGAGAATGACTTGTATCTACCATTACAGTATCATACATAGTATTTTCACTGTCCTAAATCCTCTATGCTCCATCAGTCATCCTCCCTTACCTCAACCCTGGCAACCACTGATTTTTTTTTTTTTTTTTTTTTTTTTACTATCTTCATAGTTTTGCCTCTTCTAGAATGTCATATAGTTGGAACTGCTGGCTTCTTTCACTTAGAAATATGCATTTAAATTTCCTCCATGGCTTCTCATGGCTTGGTAGCTCATTTCTTTTTAGCACTGAGAAGTATTTCATTGTCTGGATGTACCACAGTTTATTTATCCATTCACATGCTGAAGAACATCTTGGTTGCTTCCAAGTTCTGGCAATCATAAATAAAGCTGCTGTAAACATCCATGTGCAGGTTTTGTATGAACATAAAATTTCAGGTCCTTTGGGTAAATAACAGGGGGCACAATTGTTGGATCATATGGTAAAAGTATATTTAGTTTTGTAGGGAAACCACCAAACTGTCTTCCAAAGTGGCTGTGCCATTTTGCATTCCTCCCAGCAATGAATGAGAGTTCTTGTTGCTTCACGTCCTCGCCAGCTTTTAGTGTTGTCAGTGTTTTGGATTTTGGCCATTCTAATAGGAGTATAGTGGTATCTCGTTGTTTTAAATTACCGTTCTTGAAAGTTGCGGAGTATGTTTGTGTTTGGATTCCTTGTGCTCCCAGCATTGTCCCTGGCCTATAGCTGATACACAGTTATGTTTCTTTATTGAATAAATGAATGATGTCAGAAAGTATACCTGTTTAGGAAACTTAAAGCACCATTGTGACCAGATGATGTATGTAGAATTTCAGGTATACTAAATTAACTTTTGTCAGCAGGGCCATAGAGACCCTTTGTGTTAAATGGAAAAAGGGACCTCATCTGGATGGACACAGCTGTGAAGACACAGGGCTCAGTAAACAGAGAGGCCTTTGTGCTAAGGAGAGGAACCCCTTTTTGTATGAAACGGCCTCGTATCAGGCATAAGGCGTGGCAAGCTGAGCACAAGGCAGCTTCACACTCTTGCCCCACCTTTGCACAGGGGTGTGCCCTGACTAACATCATGTGCAACAGCCTTGCTTTTCACCCAGTGCAAAGAACTAACTTTCTATCCCACTGAGAGTCACTGCATTCCTCAATGTGAGAAGAGGGACCTACTTGTTCTGACAACCAAATTCCATTCATCTTGAATTCTTGGAACAACACACTATTTTTCCAGGGGCACATGGTCTTTTAAAGAAGGATCAGTAAATCCACGGATATCACCTTTGTAGTAGTGTACTTTGTGGGGAAAAGGATCCTTCTTTGTCAAAGCTATTTTTTAGGCAGATGTCTAATGCTAGGGCTCATGGTTTGGGGATTTTGTCTAATAGTTTTAGTTTTTTTAGTCTAAAATATAAACGTTGCTTGTAACTGAAGTTATTTGCCTTAGAGAATAATAGGATAAAAGAATAAAAAGTAAAGGAGCATGGATATTCCTGGGGGGACAGCTTCTACTTACCTTGTAAGATGTGTTCCCTCAGCAGGTGGCAAGGAGGAGAGAAGATAGGTAATCTCTGGGCAAATAAAAACTACAAGTATCAGATACTTAAAATAATTTAAGTACTCCTAAGAATGGGAGCGCCTGGGTGACTCAGTCAGTTAAGTGTCCAACTCTTGATTTTGGCTCAGGTTTTGATCTCGTGATCATGAGATACAGCCCCACACTGTGCTCGGTGGGGAGTCTGCTTGGGATTCTCCCTCTCCCTTTGCCCCTCCCCCCTGTGCACTGCACACGCTCTCTCTCTTTCTCAAATAAATAAATAAATCTTAAAAAAATAAAATAATCCTAAGAATGTTTTATGTCTTAGAAAAATCACAAGAAAATATGATTTTTCCTCTAAGTCCTAGAATAGGAATAAACAAAAAATAAAAACTAATGAGTTAAGAATTGTGGCAACCAAAATGTGAGACACAATGAATACAATGCTAAAAATCATCATGAACAAACATGTCACATCAGTTACCATGAACTTATTAATTTGTTTTTTTATGTTATATACTACAAATAGCATTGCTTGCCCGTGAGAAAAATAATACAGTGGATGGGATTTGCCTCAAATGAGATTTTTTGTTCTTGATTATTTTCCTTCCACCTTTTATGAAAGGGAAAACCTTTCCACGCTCAAATTACCAGTGGCATGTTTTTGGCCAGTCAACAAAGAAAGAAAAAAAAAAAAGACAACCCCCTTCCTCTCCCCTTGCCCACTCACTACCCTCTGTGCAACATACACACAAAATCTGGGAATTTGCTCTAAGAAAAATGAGTCATCAAATGCTAAAAAACAAACAAACACTGCACATAAAGAAGGAGAAGACTTCTCCCAGAATGTATTCCTTATTCCCGCAAAGGTTATTATTTACATCCCGTACTCTGTCTCCAGAGCAAAGATGTCTTCATGGTTTCTCCAGATACAAAAACAACTGTTGATTATCATGCTATACTGATGGGGCACCTGCTATGACAAGAGTGGACTTCCACCAATTTACACACCAGTTACATTCTTACAATTTTGATAGCTTAGAAATCTGGAATATATGTTAAAAACCTGCAGAGAGAAGTACTGTTATACCTGGTACGTCAGCCAGTTTGTAACAGCCATTTTAAACCCTAATGTGTGGCTGATCCCTCATACTAACAGGCTCACACTGCATTCTTGGGGCTGTGTAAAAACAAGTAAGAGGAGAGGAAGTGTTCTCCATTTTTATTGGGTGCAGGGCTAGGTTCTGATAACATCTGGAAACGGATAGTGTTTGCTTTTGGATTTTCCCTCCAGCATTTTGACGCCCCTCATCTCTGTAGCCCAAGGTTATGACCCAGGCCAAAGGTCTGACAAGCGGCTCTCTGGCCGTCTGTCCAAATATGTGTGGTGGGCAAGACACGGGACTTTGAGGATAGGGAAGGCGTGAAAGAATACCTGTGATGGAAGAGCAAGACGGGGTGTCAGGTGCCTGTCCAGGGAAGGCAAGCACAAGTCATGGATCTCACTGGTCTTTCAGAGCTGTACTTTTCAAACATGGTCTGCTTTATCCCCCACATTTTAGGCAGATGTGTGTTATGTCAAACTGCAAGGTCACTTGTGGGGGAACAAACTGCAAACCTGGACATAAGAAAACCTAAAAAAATGTTTACTCTTGTTGTGAGATTTTCTGTAGCATTTATTATTTCTTCTCATTCCCCTCTGAGACCTGCTTCTTTTTTTAATTAATTTAAAATATTTTATTCAGAGTTTACTGATGTAGTTTGATATGCCAGGTACACTTTACCAAATATTTCTGTTAAAACAATAACAGTAAACAGAGGAAATAGGAAGTAAATTAAACCACATACCTGGAAGAGGAATTCAAGTTGTTGTATCACTATTTTTGTTGACATTGGCCTTCCCATGATATTGACTCCTCATTCATGTTTAGAAATCATTCATATAGTCCCACAGGCCCACCTCTTTTTGCACCATGGGTTTTAGTTTGTGGTGAATGGGCACTTTTAGGCTAGATTTTAGGAGGTTCACAAACATCTGAAAATGACCTACATATTTTGTGTCTCTGCCCGGGTGTGTGTTTTCTTTCCTGTGGACCAGGTTCCATGGCTCTCATCAGATTTTCAGTGGTATCTGTGGTAACAAAACAAAAAACAAAAACAGCAGCCTCTTGAGAAACAGTATACTAGCAACAGTATATAAAGTTTAAGTGTGAAACAATCTCTATAAACATCTAAAAACTTAACTGAGGTCATGAAGATCATCGTGTCTTCCCCAAATAATTTTACAGTTCAAAATGAAGTTACCAAATGAATAACCCTATTATCAGAAATTCTGCCCAATATGGGCCAAACCCCTCTTTTCTAAAGTATGGTTTTTTGGGGGAGGGGCATGTAGTGGGACTTTCACTTATATTCGAGTATATTCAGTATAGTTTTTCCGTGAAAGAATGACACTGAATGTTAGGAAGTTAAAGTAAGGAGGAAATAGGCCAGTGGTTAAAATTGATATTTGCTTCTAGTTGGAACACGGAAAGGCACAAGAATTGAAAATGCATCCAACATTTTCCTTCTGTCACTGGATTCATAAACTTATTAACAGCCCTAGATCATTTGAGACCTGTATTCCAACACTTAACCTCAGTTTACCACTTCTTGTTTACTCATCTGTTTTTCCTGCTGTGAACCCTGCAAGGGCAGGGACTGCATCCTATTCATCTTTGTAAGACTTTAATAAACTTATTAAAATTTCATAGGTGACTCAAAAATAACTTAAAATTAGAAAGTCTTTACTGATTCTTAAAGTAGTAATATCAACTTTAAACTGAAGATTACGGAATTCGTGTGATTGCCTAGCTAATATTATTTAATTAAATATTTCTGACGGTGCCTGAGAGGATCATTGTTAAAGTCGTCAGTGCAACATTTAGGGCTATTTTCAGACTCCAGTAATAATGTCATTTAAAGAAATGGAAATTTAAATTACAGTTTTGCCTTCTGAGTAAAATATTTTTCAAAACCATAGTTGTTTTTCCGTTTAGAAGAAGGCACTTAGTTATCTGTTTTTGTATTGACCTCTTATAAAAATTCTAGCATGTATTTAAGCAGAAAAATGTATAAAATGAGTTTTAGTTTCACCATTCAAGAGAAATAAATGGGTGGAGTTCAGGATAGTAGAAAATCTCAATGTATTTACATGCCTGAGTGGTTTTAGAGAGGAATGGTGTATTGAAAAGAACATGGAATAATTCATAATAGTAAATCATGATAATGCCTCTGATATTTGTTGTTTGTTTTTAATTCAGTGGCAGTGTCTAATTATGGAAACTGTTTTAATGCCTAGAGTTTCAAATGCCAAACTTAATAATTTTTCTCGCCTGGAGCCAACACTTCACCTTCTGGGTGTGCAGTTTGATCAGAATGTGGCCCACAACATCATCACGGAAAAGCCTGGGGCGGCAACAAAACTTTTGTATCAGTTGTACATTGTTCTTCAGAAAAAGAAGAAAAGTGGACTGACTGGAGTGGAAATACAATCCATGCAACCCCCGGCAAACATCAGACAGCAAAGCATGAAAAGTGAGGCTTTTCAAGATGTAAGTACACAAAGAGACAGAAGCGTATCATAGTGTTAAGACCCGGGAAAGAAAAATGACAGTGACTTTGCCTTCTCAAAGAAGCCCCATTGGGTAGCTATGGCATCCCTTATGGATATTCTTGGCCATACTTAGATTTTGTTTTGTATTAATATTTTCAATTCATTTACCCATTTTTGATGTCTCCCTCCATCCTATCCACATTACCAATAGTTTCTCAAATTCTGTTTGTTCCTAATCTGCAGTGTTTTTATGCCTTGCTCCTCTCTTTCCATTTCTGGCCCTGTCCTGTCTGCTGAGATCCCTGCATGAACTACTGCAGCAACCTCCTAACATGTCTCTCGGGCTTCCGGCTTCCTGCCAGAGCTCAATCGACTGCTAGATGAATCTTTCCTAAATTCCACTTGCATGGGGCTCTTTTGCTCAGAAACCTTCCATTTTGCCTATATCCTCTCTCCAACCTGGACTGACATTCAAGATCTTTCACTAAACGGGCTCAATCTGTCTTTCTGTGTTTCTTCATAGTCCTCAGGATAAAGTCTGTTTTTCTTTCTTTTTTTTTTTTTTTTTAAGATATTATTTATTTATTTGTCAGAGAGAGAGCACAAACAGAGGGAGATGCAGGACTCAATCCCAGGACCCTGAGGATCATGACCTGAGCTGAAGGCAGACACTTAACCGACTGAGCCACCCAGGCGCCCGAGTCTTTGTTTTTTCTACACTGATCCTCAGCCTGTCCTTGAATAGCTCTTGTATATTTCCGCTCTTCCCTCCCTTTCACCCAAGCTCACACTTCTCATCTCTCCTCTTCCCACAAACTTCTCTCCATCCGCTGCTGTGCAACCTTCCCAGCACACATGGATTCTTCCTGTGGAACTCCTAGGGCACAGGTAGTTCTCGCTCTCTGGTGATAGCCTCCTGCTGCTCAGAGTGGCTAACTCTCATGATTTATCTGTCATGTGGCCTCACAAGATTTTTAGTCCCTCCAGTTCAAGGAATATGCCTGGTACAATGCTTTGAACGTTGCAAATACTCATCAAGTGTGTTTTGACTGATTGGTACAACTTTTTAGTTGACAGTTCTCTCCAATTCCTGTTGTTATTTCCTTATGACAAATGAAGTGCATTAACTTTTCCAGGCCTCTAGGATAAAGGGGAGTGCTGCACTGATCCAATGCATTAAATAGAAATGGAAATAATTAAATGTTTAAATTGAACTTCTGAAGACACAATGACATAATAGATGTGAGGGCCATCTCCACTTTCAGATTTGTCTATTCTTAGTGGATGTCCTTATGAGCCTGGTGGCAGAAGGAGCTCAGCACCCACAGAGAGCTGGAAATCAGATTAGGTTTACAGCCAAAGAACTTGGTCTTGCCTTCTGCCTCCTTCACTTGCAAAGCTGAGTAACTTTGGGCCAATCCCTGGAACACTCTCAGCCTCCATTTTCCCAGATGCTGAAACAAGATTGATTATCTCTACCTGCCCCGGGGTTAGGCTTTTTTTTTTAATATATAGTTTTAAGGAAACAATATACGAGAAAATTCTTTGTAAAATGTAAAACAGTCAACAGGAGCAAGTGCAGTAAAGAGCTGTGTAGTTGAGGCCAACAAGAAACCGTTGTGTTTAATGTTGGCCATGGTGACCTTCCAGAGTCAATCATTCATTTGTTGAACAAATATTTATTGGGCTCCTATTGTATGTCAGGCATTTGCACAACAATCAACACAAGAAAAGTCCCCATCCCCTTAGAGCTTCCATACTCAGGAGAGAAAAATATTTCAGTGGAGTAGTGTGGAACGTGGTGAGGTGAAGACTAAATTGAGATGAGGCAGCCAGGAGCATAGACTGTTTATTCAAGGAATGTGGAGGTAAGAACGGTGGCTACAAGAGAGAAGTTCATGAGAAATGTGCAGTTATTTGTTTCCTTTATGGACATAGAGACTGGGACAACTGGCTGGTTGAGAAAAAGAACCAGTGGCAGGAGATGACTGGTGTGAGAGCCAAGTGGAACAAGGTCCTTGGGAGAAGAAAGGAGGATGCAGCTGATGGTCCAGGTGGAGGAGGAGGTATCTTAGGAAAGAACTAGGCGTGCCTTTTTCTTTGATACCAGATGGAGGAAAATGCAGGTGTCTTACATAATAATAGTTATGACTCAAATTTATTGGTTGTACGTAGTGAGGTGCAAAGCCCTGTTCCAGGTAGTGTATATATATTATCTCCTTTGATCTTCACAATAGCCTTATAAGCTACCTATCTTTTATTATTCCCATTTTACAGATAATGAAACTGAGGTGCAGAAGAGTTCTGTAACTTGCTCAACTTAATGCAGCTAATAGGTGGTAAAGTTGCAACAAACCTAGGCAGAGTGACTCTGGAGCCACACGCTTAACCGTAGGCTACACCATATCTCAGTGGGTATTTCCTGGGTTGGGGGAGGATAATAATTAAGCCGAAGATATAGATATGTGTTGAAGTAGAGGAGTAGGATGTTCAAAGACCTTACATCTTTTGTTGCCTCTGTGAAGATGGCGGCCAGGCCATTTTTAATGATGAGAAGAGCAGGAAGGTGAGTAAGGGCTCAAAGTCATCTGAAAGGTCCTTAAATGATCTTCTGAGTAAGTGCCTGTATCTGCTGAGGTGGCTTAGAAGACAAGAACCAAAAATGGTTTGAGCAACAGTTCCATTTGAACAAAAAATTTAGTAAGTCTTTCAGCTTTTAAGGAGATTACTTTTAGATATACAAGTTTTTGTTAAATCCATTAGCCATGTTGCTCTGTGCCCCATTTTATAATCATCTTTGAAGTTCATTTTCTTATACCGTTAGACTCTCATTTCCAGTGGCCTGGAAGTTTTAATGTTTCTTCACTTTTTACTAGGATGTAGCTTAAGTTATAGAAGGAATCTGGCTCTTATATTATCTCTTATATGTTGGATTGGTTTTATAAAATTATTTTTGTGAAAATGTACTTCTCTAAGAATTCAAATACCATTCATTAAAAATTAAACCCAGGAAAAAAATAAAAATTAAACTCAGGGCAAAAAAATGTAAAAGTATATACGAAACTATTTTATAAGAAAGGATTCAGATCATGTTTTTATTGTTTTCATGTAAATTAAAGATATGAGTGACTAGTATGGGGCTTGAATTTATTTTAACCATCAACAACAGTAATTCATAGAAATTTTATTTTGAAGACAAATTTTATGTGTGCTTTTAATGACAATATACATTTTATTTTCTAATAATGAAATATTTTGAACTGCTTTCTCCATTTAGAGACTTACAAACCTGATACCACTGATTTCAAACTGATTTCAATCTGATGCGGGTTACACACAGGTTTCGAGAAAAATATAAACACATGAAAGAAGATCTTGTCTGCATGCATTTTAGAAACTTGAAAAATTTCAAAAACTCAAGGAAGAACAAAGATGTTTTAATATTGAAAAGGTTTTATAGTACGATTTTTCCAGAAACTCATTAGTGCATAGTGTATACAGTTTGCGATTTATGCCTATAGTACACATTACATAAGCATTAATATAGTGCAAGTTGCATGTTCCTTTGCTCAGGCTCCACCCTGCTCTCACCTTTCTCTCCCTCACTCTCCCTCCATTCCCACTCGTGCCATCAGCACTCCTTGTGACCAAGAACAAGAACTGCCATTCTCTGGAGTGGCAGGACGACTTGATTTCTTTTCAAGTTGTCCAGTAGAAATTAATGCTTCAGAGGCATCAGCGATGGGGGGTTGCTACTAACCACTCCAGTGAAGGCTTAGGACGGTTGTCCCCACTAAGGGGTGTACAGTGGGCATTCCCCCTCTGTGTTCCCTCTTTTGCAATCCCTTGGTTTTCCTGTCCTGCCTCATTTTTCTCATCCTGGCAATGTGGGGTCATACCCTGCTTGCTTCCTTTTCCAAACCCCTTAAACATCTCTTGCCTTCTTTCTGGCCCTTCTTGCTTTGACTAACTCCCCACTGCTTCTTAAATTTCTCTGAAAATCTTTAATGATCTCCTATGCCTTTAAGTACATGAGAACGTGATGGTGTGTGGAATCATTAAAGATTTTCAAGAGAATTTCAGGTGACTACATATATGGAATGTGTAAACTCAGGCAAAAGAATTATAGTTCTTCTCCTTGCACTATAAATCACTTTTTAAATTCATATATTTAGAATTATAAGAAATGAACATATCCTGAATGTAGTCAGCCCCCTGTGCAGAGGGAGGGAAAGATGAGAGACAAACTCTGGAATGATCTCATTACTTGCCAGAGAGTAGATAAAGCACCGGGCTTCCCCTTGCATTGCATGGTAAGGAGACAAGGCACTCTTAAAGTAGTGTTTAAGTCAAGACCAAATGCTGGGACTCTAATTTTGAAGGAACCAGCCTGTCTGACTTTGATGTCCTAAGTGTAATGCAGAAAGTGTCCGAAGAAAGTTGGGAAAAAGGAAATATGAAACCATTAAATCTGAAATAAATTATGTTAAAAATGATAAGAAGCAGGGGCGCCTGGGTGGCTTGGTTGGTTAAACATCCGACTCTTAATTTCAGCCCAGGTCATGATCTCAGGGTGGTGAGATCAAGCCCCATGGCGGGTTCCATACTGGGTGTGCAACCTGCTTAAGATTCTCTCCCTCTCTCTCTCTGCTCCTTCCCCCACCCCCCCAAACCCCTGCTTGTGCTCTCTCTCTCTCTCACTTAAAAAAAATTGTAGGGGGGCGCCTGGGTGGCTCAGTTGGTTAAGCGACTGCCTTCAGCTCAGGTCATGATCCTGGAGTCCCTGGATCAAGTCCCGCATCAGGCTCCCTGCTCGGCAGGGAGTCTGCTTCTCCCTCTGACCCTAACCCCTCTCATGTGCTCTCTCTCATTCTCTCTCTTTCAAATAAATAAATAAAATCTTTAAAAAAAAATGGTAGGGAGCAAATAAGACAAAAGGGAGAGCCTATGTCTTCCTGGTTTTCTTAAGAAAAGATCAACATATTGCAACTACAAAAAAATTCATATTTTAGAAAGTAAAATGAAGAAAAAAATTAAGTTATTTATAATTTTTGACTTTTTAGTGGTTAATTAAAGTTTCTTTGGATATAGGAAGAAATGATCTTATTAGTTCTAATATAATATTTTAGTAGTAAAATCATGATTAGTTTTACATGTTACTTCTTAAATCATCTATTCTTTAAAATATTTTGTCTGATTTTCACTATTTTTTCTTTCACTTCTGCTTATGTTCTACTTAAAATAATTACTCCCGGGTAGAGAAGAGATGGTCTGATAATGGGATCACATAATTCAGCATTTAATTCAATATTTGAAGCAGTCTCTGAGCTCATTGTTTAAGTGTGACTAAATTTTGGGGAAGTTTGTCATGTCTCCTGGGTTCCCCAGAAGTCCTCCTAGAAACCATCTCCTAAATGGAATTTTCTCTTCAGACCATCTTTAGAGACAGCATTTTCTCTTTACATTATGGGGTAGGTCAGAAGGTAGAATTGGGAAAGAATTATATTCTTTGTATCTGAGGCACCTTTATTATTCTTTTAGTGTCATCACCTAGAATGAAGATACACGCATCTGATAGGCATAATTTGAGGATTCCAAAATTGTGGGTTGTTTTTTTTAAAGATTTATTTATTTGTTTATTTGGCAGAGAGAGAGAGTGAGAGAGAGAGCACAAGCAGGGGGGAGTGGCAGGCAGAGGGAGAGGGAGAAGCAGGCTCCCCGCTGAGCAGAGAGCCCCATGTGGGGCTCGATCCCAGGACCCTGAGATCATGACCTGAGCTGAAGGCAGATGCTTAACCGAGTGAGCCACCCAGGTGCCTCCCAAAATTGTGTTTTAATACATACTTTTCAAAATGAGTCATATTGATACCTGCTTCCTAACATTACACAGTTGTGACACCTAGTCCATTGGTAAATTGCTGAGTTCTAAAAAATGTATATATGTGTACCTGTGAGTGTGTAACATGGCCTGTTATTCTGATGAGTGGAATAACTAAACTAACTATGGGATATTCAGCAACGCTTGAGCAGAAGACGACAAAATGAAATAATGGCCAAAATCCAAGCAGCTATCATACAGATTCCTAAACCTGCATCAAATCGTACTTTGAGAGCACTTGAGGCCCAAAAAATGATGAAAAAGAAAAAAGAGGCAGAGGTAAGTGATAATCCTTTAATTTGGTGTTATGTTAATCTTAATGAAAGAATGATCTTTCTCTAAAACATATAGAGAGAATGCCCCCAACTTCTTAGTTCCTTTTCAGATTATTGGTGGCATTGTTCCTTCTCATTCAAAACCCCTCCACTGTGTGCATATCTAATCCATATCATACTGTTATTTGTTCAGAATGAGAGAATGTAGCTGTAGGTCAGGGATAAGAAACTCCTATTAAATGACAGTACCAGTCTGGACTCCTGTGTTGAGACGGATTCTGTGGTCACCACAAAAATATTCTAGAATGGTGCTGCCGTGATGGGTCATAATCCCCATGGGTACAGAGGTGTCAGTCAAGGTACACATACCATATATATGCCATTCCTACTATATCTTTTACTCAATTCCTTCTCACCATGCTGCTCTATTTTTCTATGAGTACCAGAAATGTTAAGTGGTTTGCTTGCTATCAGTGTATTTAAATTTAAGATACCTACACTAGTGATACTTTATTACACCATACCAGCTGTCAGTCATTCCAGCAGGATACCATCTGCTTATGTTTCATAGGGGTGCAATACTACATTTTGACACTAATTCCTGCAGTCTACATTGCATATTGCTACAGTGATTATTAATGGTATTCTCTCCTGGGACCTAAGGAAAAGAATAATAGCTACCATTTATTGAGCGTCTGCTATATGTCAGCTGTATTATTTCCCCCAATTTCTTTTTTTTTTTTAAAGATTTTATTTATTTATTTAAGAGAGAGAATGAGACAGAGAGAGAAAACACGAGATGGGGGAGGATCAGAGGGAGAAGCAGACTCCCTGCTGAGCAGGGAGCCCGATGCGGGACTCGATCCCGGGACTCCAGGATCATGACCTGAGCCGAAGGCAGTCGCTTAACTAACTGAGCCACCCAGGCGCCCTCCCCCAATTTCTAAATAAGGAAACTGAGACCTAGAAAGCCACCATGTTTCACTCTGGTCCACAGGATAGTAAAGTAGAGATTGACAGGTCTCTCTGATATCTAAATCCAATACATTTTATGTTAATCCACATTTCTTTATTTTTTAGTATTTAAAAAATATCCTGTACTTGGATCCTAAAGAATATTACCCATAGAGGTTTTTTCAGATCCAAATTTTAGAGAAGTATTTAATTCTTATATTTCTCTGAGGTGATTAAAGTTTATTAATAAGGATTTGCAGTAGACAAAGGATGAGCTAAACTAATCTTCAGAGAGCAAATTAATAGCATAAATAAGGTTGCACAAGAAATATTTAAAACATGCAAGACAACAGTTTTTGAAGAAGTATTTATACTCCGAAAAAATGCTTATTCTTCTTTAAAAGAATTGCAAATAAAAATCCATGGCCTGAGACTCTTTGAATATCTTCATTCTCATTAAATGTCCTTTGTTAAATACTGTCAGAGCTAGAATTGTGAATGGAATGATTCAGGTAAGGCAGCTTCACACTCTTTTAGGTATATTTAACCTAGTCTCAAAGTAATGAATCAGAATTATAAAAATATTCTAGAATGCAGCTTTTCATATCTTGCCTCCTAATTAGCCTGAATTAGTAGTGCATAACACCTTGGAAACTTGTAAAGTGAATATGGTAAATGAAGATTTTCAATGGCTTTTAGAAGTGGAAAACTGATAATGAATTTTCTTTAAAGGATGTGGCTAATGAGATTAAGAAGTTTGAAGCCTTAATAAAAAAGAATCTCCAAGCCAAAGAAAGGTGAGATGTGAATTACTTCAACAATCACAGAACTACATTCTATTCTACCTGTAACTTTTAAATACTTAGAAAGAGTTTATGGGGAATAGTTGCTCCAAAGATCTTTTTACTTTGTAGAAGCTTCATTAAGAGAGTATATGAAAGAAGGTAAAAGAACTAAAATTCAGATTAATTGTTCATGAACAACTTTTGTAAAGATCAGGAGGGAAAGTGGCTATTATGAGATGGGAAGTTACTTTATTTTTCTATGCTATGCTTGCTATCCTAAGTTCACACACTTTTTATGCATTTATGAAAATTGCTTCAAGTTACCACTAATTTAAATTTGTCATAAAGCCTTTATTAGATGCTTGTTGGTTTCTTTCATGTTGTGTGCTCAGCATTTTACATAGGGAGCAGCAATAAAAAGTTGTCGAATGAGTTTAACTGTCACTGAAATGGTCAGTTCGGTGAGTTTATTGCAAAAAGTGCCTGGTTAATGGGCTTCATTTGCCTAAAGATAAAGATACTCTCCCCTTTTCTTTCCTATTAGGGGTCACTGACTCACAGGAGATAATTGAGTAAGGTCTGCATAGGTGGGAGAAACTTGAGTTCTTCCACATTTTTAAATGGGAACTTTCCAAATTCTACTCACTTACGTTTTGTGGAATATGAACTAAATCTCTGTTAAAGAAGAAAAACGGACACAAACTATATAAATCAGTTCCATATTAATATTTCTGAGGGAAAGAAACAGTCAAATGAGGAGAAATAAGAAAAAGAAGAAGAGGTGGTGAGGAAATCAGGCGTGGAAGGAAAATAAAGCAAAATGAAGAATACATACATTACATTTTCTTCTACCCTCTGCAAAAACTTTTGATGCCCTACTCTGATTCCCACTGCCATTTATCGTGCTGCCCCAGACTAAAGAAAACACAATCCAAGCCTACCCACCCAGTAGCCACCACCCAAACCCCACCACACCCACCCCGGACTGGCCCATGAAACCACTGGATTTCTTCCAGCTCTTTCACTCATCTCACCTGCCACGCACTCTGGAGTGTTAAGCAGATGGTATCCACCAGAGCAACCAACTTAAAATACCGAAATACTTCTGTTACTTGTAGGTGAATGGTATTCCCTGTAGCCCTTTCCTGGGACCCCTCAATTTCCACACAATTTAGCAACCAGAATTCACACCCAACACAGCAGTGGCCTCTAATTCCTGCACCAGCACCCATTTTGATTGATTAGTGTCCTTGCCATGTCAGTTGTTAAATATTTAAAGATCATCCTGTACAATACAGCTGCAAACATGCACTCTGCTTACCGTTATTGCCTTTGCCCCCCATCTTGAACCTAGGTCTCTCTATCAATTAGCTTTAGAAACCCCAAACAAGAGCAGGTTAAAGTTGACCTCTCTCTCATGTAATAGAAATGAGAATGTAAGCAGCTCAGGGCATGTGTTGGAGCTCCAAAGTCATCAAGGACCGAGGGTTTCCTTTAGCTCCACTGTCCTGTTGTGTGGTTTTTGTCCTCAAATTCACATTCATAATAGAAGATGGCTCCTGGGGCTCTGGCCATTTGGCCCATGTTCTAGATATAAGGAAGGAAGATAGGCAAAAAGTAGTTATCTGAAATAGCTGAAATAGCTCCTTTTAAGAACCTTCCCTGAAGTCCCAGGTAACATTTGTGCTTACATTTTATTGGCCAGAGTTCAGTCACATGGCCACACTTAGCAGAATGGGAGGCTGGGAAATGTAGTCTTTAGCTGGATACTTTGTTTTCCTGAATAAACCTGGGGCTCTGAGGTTTTTTTGAGGAAAAAGGGAAGGAAATGATGGTGTCTATCACAGGTTCTTTCTCTGCAGAAGCCTCCACTTGGTCTTACCAGAGACTTAGCACTGGGAGGCCATGAAATAGAGACATCCTCATTTTGATTCTCAGAACAGCAGGATAGGGCCTGGGGCAGCCAGACTCCCTGGACCAGTCACCGGTGACTGTGAAGCTTCATCTGGGACTCCAAATCCCTCTCAGTATGCTGCACAAAAGGCATTTTCTCTGGTGGCCCCAAATAAAGGATGTTGGGAAGCATAGGTCTGGAGCAAACTTCTAAGGAAAACAAAAGTTATGGTACAGTATGGCCTTTGTTAAGTCCCTTTATTAATCACTGCATTAGTGCATTCTGAATTTTTAGCTTAGAATCAAGCATCTTCTGGGCTCTTTCAAAAACTTCACACTATTTGATTCCAGAAAGCACTAAAATCTCATAAGTTGAACACAAGGAGCAATTTCTGCAGCTGCCGCTTTCACAGCCTGCTCCGGAAACAGTTCCTCAGGGACGTCACCTCCAAGTCCCATCTTCTTTCTTTTGTGGAAGAACGAAACATTGTCTCGGGGAGAGCAATGCAGGAGCTCCCATGGCTGCTTTCCCCCCACGTGTACAATACAGCTCCTGTATACTTACTGTCTTTATTTTCTAACACAAATAATAAATGCTATCTGCTACTTTTTTTTTTTTTTTAGCTGAGGTTGTTCCCTGCTCTAATGTGACACTCGAATCCATAGATTTACTTTAGACTCTTCCTAGCCATTGCTCTTTATACACAAATTTGGCCAAGGTTCCAATTACTAGTAATTCATACACACCCAATTACTAACTCTGTGGAGGCCTGACAAGCAGATATAGAGAAAACATAATAATTGCCCTCAAGAAACCCACATCTAGGAAAACGAATATTTATTCAGGTAAATATCGTGTAGCTTTCTTGAGCCCTTAATTGGAATGAGACAGCAGATGGATGGGTGGGGGACAGAATGATTGATAAAGGAGAAGCAACATGTTAAGTATATTAAGCCATGTACAATCCAAAGCAAATTCTTTTAAACAGCACAGTTGAGGGACGCCTGGGTGGCTCAGTTGGTTAAGTGCTTGCCTTCAGCTCAGGTCATGATCCCAGGGTCCTGGGATCGAGTGCTGCATCGGGCTCCCTGCTCAGCAGGGAGCCTGCTTCTCCCTCTGCTGCTGCCTGCCTCTCCCCCCTGCTTGTGCTTGCTCTCTTTCTGACAAATAAATAAATAAGATCTTTAAAAAATGTTTGAGTAAAAACATAATACAAATCTTAAAGGATGATCTAAGAAGTTATGCCCCCTAATTTTCATAAGTACTTAATTGTACTAATAAATAGGGTTAAATTCTGTATTTTAGCTTACTGAGGCTTTGGTAACTACACAATTTCTGCTCAAAGACTCTTTAGTGACAGAATACAACTGAAGGTTGAGCCCTGGTTGATAAAATAAACAGAATTTCAGGGTGTGATTTTTTTTTAAGAATTACTCTGTATCGTACTTCTTAGCATATCATTTGAAGTTGAGCAGACATCAGCTACATGTCAGGAGTATGAGGCACCAGGACAGAGCGGAGTATAATAGGATACTTTTCTTATGAGCTCAGAGTTCATCTGGGAGTAGCAAATGCACAAAAAATGAACTATAACACAATATGATCTATACTATAGACATGCAATTGTTACTTCATTAAACATGAATTAACTGTGCTTTATAAGAATACTTCGCTCTGTATAGGAATTGATGACAATTTAGTTCCTACATACCATATTAATGTGTTCTTGGCTTTTGAATAAGATAGTAAGTTGTATTTTAAACTGAATACATTAATAACTTACAACATGAAAAAAATATTTATAATATTAAAACATTTATTGGCAGGTAACAAGATACATCTTGTACCATTGTACTATTGTATTCTGTTTATTTTGTAAGGAGGTATGCAGATGAGAATTGATTATTTGATCCTTATATACATAAAAATGTATCTTTTACTTCTAAAGATAACTTTTTTTTTAAAAGATTTTATTTATTTATTTGACAGAGAGAGACACAGCAAGAGAGGGAACATAAGCAGGGGGAGTGGGAGAGGGAGAAGCAGGCTTCCCGCCGAGTGGGAGCCCAATGCAGGGCTTGATCCCAGGACCCTGGGATCATGACCTGAGCCGAAGGCAGACGCTTAATGACTGAGCCACCCAGGTGCCCCCTAAAGATAACGTTTGAATGAACCTATAAATTCTTGTACTGAGCTACCATTGTCCCACTAAATTGAGTGTATTTGCTTTCTGTTGGTAACACCACCAGGCTCTTCCTGATCCTTTAATTTTGGACATGAGGTAGGACAGGCACCGAACTAGGTCTTCTTGGATTTCCAGGACTTGGGCAAGAGGCTAGGTCAGTCTTGTGTTTGCCAGTGTGGCATGACGAGCAAGTCATTTTTCAGCTGCCGCCCTTCCAGTACGAGCTGGGCCATTGGTCTAAGCATTCAGAAGGTTACTGGGAGTTCATAACGCAGCTTGCATTTGCATGAGGGAGAGGAGGGTTGTAATGGATGGAAGTACTCTCAGTGTCCTGACGTTAGGACTAGAGGTATGCCTTCCCTGACACTTTGGTTATCAATAATGTGTTTACTCTTGACTCAAAACACGGGAGGCAAGAGGCCTAGAGACAGCAGGCAGAAGAGGGAGAGAAACCCAGATCATGAGAAGTGAAAGAACAAGTAGGCAGTAGGCTTAGAAAGAAGGCTAAGCTAATGACCTCCCAAAGTAGAGTCTAGAAATGCGACAAATGGAATCTAATGATAAGCTATGGATGTCACAATGAAGTTCTAATATTTGCTTTAATGCTTGAATAAATAAATTAACAGGGCATTCAAGGGATTTCCCGAGGTCTTCATAGATACAAGTAGTGGCATGTGATTGCATTGTTTTTTTAAAATCTAAATAAAAACTATTATCCTTAGTGCCTCCAAGACTTCTTTAGATACAGCCGGCCAGAAAACTACTGATTTGTTAAACACTTATTCGGATGATGACTATATTAAAAAAATCCAAAAGCGCCTTGAGGAGGATGCTTTTGCACGAGAGCAAAGGGAGAAAAGACGGCGGAGACTGTTAATGGACCAGTTAATAGCCCATGAAGCACAAGAGGTAAAATATTTAGATATTGCTTGAATAATTTAGTACTGGACAGTTTGCAAAATTTAGTCTTTTATACATACATATATGTATCTTCCTTATTTATTATCTGTTACTCTTAATCAAATATCAACAGAACACGTCCGCATCATCACAGCAAATAGACTCAGAAAAATAAATCTACATAAAACATTTACTAAATAATCTAAAATCTGATGATGGTTATACAACATTGTGAATGTACTTAATACCATTGAATTGTACCCTTAAAAATGGTTGAGATGGTAAATTTTACGTCAGGTATATTTTCCCACAATTAAAAAAGAAAATACTGACCAAAAAGGACATACTTTGGATATTAACCAAATGTACATTTGCAAATATTTTCTCCCATTCTATAGGTTGCCCCTTCACTCTGTTGATGGTCTCCTTTACTGTGTAGAAGCTTATTAGTCAGATGCAATCTTACTTGTGTATGTTTGCTTTTGTTGCCTGTGCGGTGGGGGTCATATTAAAAAGAAAAAAATCATTGCTTAGACCAATGTCAAGAAGTTTTTTCTCCCTGTACTTTCTTCTAGTAGTTTTATAGTTTTGGGTCTTATGTGTAAGTCTTTAATACATTTTGAGTTGATTTTTGTATACAGTGTGAGTTAAGGGTACATTTTCATTCTTCTGCATGTGGACATCTAATTTTTCCAGCACCACTTGTTGAAGAGATTGTCCTTTCCCCATTATGTAGCTTTAGCACTCTTGTTGAAGATCAGTCGACTGTACAAGCATGGATTTATTTCTGGGCTCTCTTTTCTATTCCATTGGTCTATATGTCTGTTTTTATGCCATTACCCTACTGTTTTGAATACTGTGACTTTGTAGTATATATTGAAATTAGGAATGCCTACAGTTCTGTTCCTCTTGCTCAAGATTGCTTTAGCTATTCGGAGTTTTTTGTTGTTCCATATGAATTTTAGTATTTTTTTTTATTTTTGTGAAAAATGCTATTGGAAATTTGATAGTGATTTTATTAAATCTGTAGATTACTTTAGATATTATGGACATTTTAGCATTATTAATTCTTCTAATCCATGAACATGGGATATCTTTCCATCTATTTGTGTATTCTTCAATTCCTTTCATCAATGTTTTATAGTTTTAGTTCACAGATCTTTTACCTCCTTAGTTGAATTTATTCCTAAATATTTTATTATTTTTGATTCTATAATGCAATTATGCTGGATTGTTTTCTCAATTTTTTTCAGATTATTCATTGCATATAGGAACACATTTTTATATGTGTGATTTTTTGTATATTGATTTTGTATCCTGCAACTTTACTGAAATTGTTTCAGTTCGAACAGATTTTTTATGTTGCTGTTGTTGAAGTCTTTAGAGTTTTCTGTATATAAATCATATCATATGCAAACAGAGACTATTTTACTTCATCCTTTCTAATCTGGATGCCTTTTATTCTTTTTCTTGTTAATGGTGCTGGCTAAGACTTCCAGTACTATGCTAAAAAGAAACGGTGAGAATAAGCATCTTGGTCTTATTCCAGATCTTAAAGGAATGCTGGCAAGCTGATAGGTTTTAGCATCATACCATTGATTATGATGTTATCTGTGGGCTTGTCATACATGGCCTTCATTATATTGAGTTACATTCCTTCCCTACCTAATTTGTTAAGAGTTTTGATCTTGAAAGGATACTGAATTTTTTCAGATGCTTTTTCCGCATCTATTGACATTATCAAAAAGGTTAATGAAAACAACATGGAGAAGTTGTTAGTCCTCTCAGTTTGTTTATTGGTTTACTCTAGTGGTTCTTATTGTGATTCCTGGACCAGCAGCATCAGAATCACCTAGAAATTTTCAGTAATGTAAATAATTGGACCTCACCTCAGACCTACTGAATCAAACTCAAATCACAGCTCTGGGGTGAGGCCTGTGCTTATATATGTTACTAAAAAATTCATATTTATTTTCCGTTGAGAAATTTTATTTAATCTACATTTTTATATAATTCCCAGGTTCAAGTTTTGGAATTTACTATAGAGTGTTGTTATTATTATTTGCCTCCAGATTCTGGAAATATATAGGATATTTCTCCTGTAATCTCATAGTGGCAGAGATCATTTGAAACAATATCATTAATAATGCTAGATTTTCTTCCTAAATAGTTGGATTGTTGAGTGTTAAATGGACAACTCCAATGTTTAAGCATTCTTTTATGTCTTCCCCCTTGAGAACTTTAATTACCTCCTCCTTCCACATGATGTCTCTGTTTAGACAGAATGAGAGCTTGAAGGGGCTTTGAAGATCATCTTCCACCTAAACCCCTCATTTCACCTGTCAAGCAGTAGGCCCTGAATATCCAAGTTACTTGTCCAAGGCCATACGGCCAATTAATGGTAAGACTGGAGCTGCAGTGGCTTTTGATTCCCAATTTAATGCTTTTTTCCACTGCTCACATACTGACTCCCCTTCTACTCTCTTAAAATAGACGAGAGAGCCAGGAGAATGCATCTGGTTTCTCTTTCAGATTACAACCAATCAGATTTTCTGAGACAAACAGTAGGTCATGACCCCTTAGACTCTGCTCCAGTCTTCCCATTCCATCAGATTGCAGCTTTTTCTCACACAGGTAGTGAGATATCCAAACTGGCAACTAACTAGATCTGCATCTTCAGCCAAAGTCTACATTTGTTTTTGTAATTACAACCAGTACTTATTTCAGGAATTTCAAATTTCTGAAAACATGCTTTTAAATTGAGAATCAGATCCTTTGTTTACAAAACCTTGAAAACAGTCACCTAATTTATTTTTCATTGGATTTTAAACAAAGTAATAATTCATTTAAAATCATTGTGACTTGCAAGATCATAGTGCTTCCAGATACCAAAATGGTACAACCTTTGTTGGAAATCTTCATTTTTATAACTTGATTTTTGCCATGTTCAAATTTAAATCAAATGACAGAAGTAGATGCCGAGGACTACTCTGCCTTGTACACATTATTTATACATAGGCTTCTTAACCCAATGGGAAATTTGGACATGGCCTTGACAAATAATTGGCTCCTCCAATGGTGTTTTCAGGAGGCATATCGGGAGGAGCAGTTGATTAATCGGCTGATGCGGCAGTCCCAGCAGGAGCGCAGGATCGCTGTGCAGCTGATGCATGTTCGGCATGAAAAGGAAGTTTTATGGCAGAACAGAATTTTCCGAGAAAAACAATATGAAGAAAGACGACTTAAAGATTTCCAGGATGCTCTTGATCGGGAAGCGGTAAACAATAGCTCCCTTAAAAATCTAAGGTTACTTTTGATCCTTTCTACCAAGTCAAGGTAAACAAAACTGCATTTAGTTGCCCATCACTTAAAAAGAGTTAATTTTTATATGATCTCTCTCTTACCTTCCCATTTTTATTTTTGTGTAACTACACTGACAGCGCATAGAGCTTCTACATATTACACTCTCCCCCTCTAGTCTTGATTCCACCAATATTTGATGTTCACCACCCATCTTTATGTCTATGTCTCTCTGGTAATTTTGTTGCCTGAAACTCATTCTCCAGTAGATTCCTCAAGAAGGGCTCAGGGAACAATATTCCATGTATGTTGTATCGGATATTGTGTATTGTATACTGATAACAGTATAGATTTAACTTTTATACCTGATTGTCAGTTTTGCTGTATATAGAATCCCTAGTTCACATTCTCTTTCCTTGAATATCTTAAATACATTATTCCATTTTCTTTAGGTAAAAGTGCTATTGTCAAAACAATTAATGATAATCTAATTTTCAGTTCCTTGTGTGATTACTCCAATTTTCTAGATGTATACAGAGCTTTAATTTCCTTTAAAATCTGCTAAGTTTACTAGGATGGTATTGGTGTTGGTTATTTTAGGTGAACATTCTCAGGCAGTGAGAGCACTTTTAAGCTGCCTCCTTTTTATAAGATACCATTAGTCTTTAATAAATGACTCCTTGCTTTCTGATAAAACAGGATTTTATCAGGCCCATAGTGTATTATTCCTTCCTCCAGACCCAAATAGGCCACTTATCCAGTGTACGATCTTGTTGATCGTATTTGAGAATGGTACACAGACACCAAGATCCGGATGAGAGGTATGCTCTCGGCTACTGTGGTATCATTGTGTCTAGGTCCTTTTATGGCTCTGAAAATCAAAATATCTAATCTTCCGATTATTTAATACATTAATATTTTTCCTTATCTTTATGTATATATGGATTCTAATCATCAAAATAGATCTAGTTTATCAATGGATTATGTAGATTACTTCTTGCCTATTTCCTACTGGAGATAGAGTTCAAATTTATTCAATCTGTTGGTCCAGATTTGATTGAAGAAATACAAAACTCATGTGAGTGGCATTTTATATAGCCTGTCTTTAGTGCCATAAAATAGTCACAAAGCTAGGCTGAATAAAAGAGAAAACCACATAGAAAATAGGAAGGGAATGCTTTATTTATCAGATTTGTGGTTTACACTGTGATATTCCATGAAAATAAATACAGCTTTTGCCAAAAATATGCAGTTTTTAGAAATATCATTTGAAAGTCAGGAAAATGGTGCTTTTGTCTTTTGTAGAATAGACATAGCTGAAATGTTAGGGGTAGGGGTGAAGAACTATACCTCCATGGCTCCATGAATTTGAGCTGTAGGATCCCTGATCTCAAGTGTTCTCTTTAAGAGCTGAATTATCTGGATAATTGTTTCATCCCTCTTTTTTGACAAGAGTGAACTTGAATGGATTGAATAGCATTTGCTTACATTAGAAATGATGTGTTTAGCTAACCTTTTAAGTGCCTGTTGAAAAATATGTTTGCTTCAAGCCCAGTTGATGAAGTACAGAATAGTAAAGCATTTATAGCAGGACTGGGCTCACTGTGATGAGAAGCATTACCTGCTTTTTTCTTTAACTAGGCCTGAACCGACTTCAGAGGACTGGAATATTCAGGCCTGCTAGAGCCTCAGAGACAGAACTGTGAGGTTCTGTAGCATCTGAAAAAATTATATCCCATCCTCTCACAATGAGTGCCTTTCCTTAAAGCTGAGGTATCTGCTTCCTTGGCCCCCCTCTCTGTGAGGTGGCTTGATTTCACGGGTTATCTCCGCAAACACTGAATTTATTACCTCCTACATCAGCAGTGGCTGGTGTGTGAGTAGGAGCCAAAGAAATAAATACTGAATTGAAGTTGCCAAAGGAACACTGTTACCTTTTCTTCCTAGTCTCATGCACTAAATAAACAAATTAGATTTTGTTCCCCACAGCAGATAATTCTACTGCTTCACTTTTGTGAAGAGGAGAGTTTTTTAAATTGTTTTTATTACTTTTTACTATTTTTTTAGTTTTTGTTATCATTTGTGGTGGGAGAAGGAGGAGAATTCTAGAAGTACTTTTAAACCTATTACAAATTTTAAAAGTCTGTTAATGGGGTGCCTGGGTGGCTCAGTTAGTTAAGCATCTGACTCTCGATTTTGGCTCAGGTCATGATCTCAGGGTCCTGGGATAAAGCCCTGCATTGGGCTCCACACTCAGTGGGGAGTCTGCTTGGGATTCTCTCCCTCTTCCTCTGCCCCAACCCCTGCTCTCACGCTCTGTCTCTCAAATAAATAAATAAATATTCAAAAAAATTAAAAAATAAAAAGTCTGTTAATGATGCAGGCTATTAATAATATCTCATGTTATTAATATTAATTATTAATCTGCTATTACATGGTCCCTTTCTGTTGAGTTCTGCTGTGGAAGCACTCCTGGTTTTCTTCCTACTTCATTGGCTGCCCCTTCTTGGCCTTCCTTTGTAGGCTCATTCTCCTCTAATACCAAAACATTTAATGTCAGGGTTCCTTAAAGCTTAATTCTAGGCCTCTTTCTTTGCTCCTTTATGTTATTTCCTTAGACAGTCTCTTAATGCACGACCATGGCATGTAATTGCTGCAATAGACAGACGAGTCATGCATATCTTGTCCTTTGCAGTAGAGACCCATATGTTCAACTGCTTTCCGGACATCTGTACTCCTACATCTCAGTGATACCTCAAATTCACCATGTTAAAGCCAAATTTATGACCCTTCTTACTAAACTGGTCTTTTTCAAATTTCCGTATTTCCATAAATGGTGACACTATTTATTCGGTTATGCAAGTGCAAAACTTCGGGATCCACTTGAACCCTACTTCACCCTTTCTAATGTATCCAAAACATCACTAAGTCTTGTCAATTTCATGTACTAAATATCTCTTCAATTTGTCCATTTTTCCCCATGTCTACACCACCAGCCCAGTCTCTACTACTACTCTACTACCACTACTACAGTGGTCTCCTTCGTCCATTTTGAGTGACTATGAATTAGCAACCACAGTTGGGGTATGCAAGAACATAACATTCTTTATATTCTTTAAATCAGCCTAAGCTCGAACTCCAGCAATCCACCTCTGCCCACAGAAATGCACAGATGCACGGTGCCTCAGGTCACAGACCAAGTCATCAGGGAAACCCTGCAGTCATCAGGCCCAGGCCCAGCCTGTTGCCTTTGAGACCTCAGTTACCCCAGCCCACACATTGCCTCCAGTGGCACATGTCTTCGCAGAGGCCATTCCAACTTTTGCTGGTCCCTCACATGCTCCCTTCTGAGGCTCTGCTGCTCCCGAGGAAGTGCCAGGGAGTGGGCACACATCTCTTCCTCTTTCTCTTTGCTCTCAAAATCTCCCCTCCTCTCCTCTCCCTTGGAGTGACCTAGATTAATTTGCCTTTGGATAGAGTCCTTTAAAGTGAGGAGGGATTTCCAACAGTTTCTACTTTTCTGTCCTGAAGAAGCTCCCTGAAGCAGGAGTTAAAAAAGACCTGTTAGAAATGAAGGAAGGGGAAATTAGAGATACCTTATACAAATTACCTGCCCTATTATCATCTCCTCCAAATCATCCTCCATTGTGCAGCCAGAGGAATCTTCTTGACTCTCAGATTTGACCATTGCCCTCATACTCAAAAACCCACTCATGGCTTCTCTTCGATGAGATCCCTGCTCATACATTGCTCCCCTCTGTCTCCCAGACTCTGGCCATCCTGTTCTGCTCTCAGATCTTTGAACAAGTCATTTCTTCTGCTAATCCCCTTCTTCCCTTATGCCTTTCCCCAGTTAATCCTCATCTTTCAGAACTCTCTGCACAGGTCACTTCTTATCAGCCTCCTGTGATGGGCCATACACCATCGTCCTTCCTTGTGACATGTATCATATTGTGCAGGTATACATTTATTGTATGGCTTTTTCACTGCCTCTCCCACTGAATGTAAGCTCTATGAGGAAAGGGATCATGTTTGCTTCTGCTCACTACTGTTTCCCCAGGGCTTAGGCCAATGTCTGGTACATTTCAAGAAAGGCCGGGGGGCGGGGGTAGGAATGATGCAGAAAGGGAGAGAGAGAAGGGAGAGAGAAAAATAGAGAGAGAGAGAAAGAACTTTGTGTTGTCCTTCATCAGTTTTTGTCTGTTTTGGTTTTGTATTTAGATTAAATCTGCTTATCTCATCCTTTAAGGTAATTGGGCATCTATTCTATATTAAGTGTTTCTGATTTCAAATTTCTAATCTGCCTATTATTAGTAGTAGTACTTAATTATAATAATATTTAACATTTTTTGAGCATTTATTGTGAGTCCAGCATTGAGCTATGTTTGTCACATGCACATATAATTCTCGCAACAGCCTTTGGAAGTTGACACTATCCTTGTCTACATTTTACACATAAGGGAAACAAGACTTAGAAAGCTCACCTTCACACAGCCTGTGAGTGGTGTGGGCAGGAGCACAGTCAGCTCTAGCTGACTCCAGAGTCTGGGCTCATAACCACCGAGATTGACTACCTCCCACAGACTTCCTTTTTCCTTTTCCTTCTTTCTTTTTTTAGGGCTTCAACCCAGTTTGCCGTAATGCGACAGGAAATTGTGGGTTTAGCACAGGGAGGCGGGGTGGGGTAAAGGTAGAAGACTAGTAGCTGTAAAGAAGGAAGAAAGGCACAGAGGGTGGGAGGGAGGGAGACAGCACCCAGGTGAAAGCTGCTGCCTTTCTGTGGGATCATTCCGCGGGTCCCTGTAAGGCTTGGGTCCGTTCCCGCCCGAAACATTTCCACATGCTTTACAGGCACTCTGCAGTCAAGCAACTTCACACCCCATTTTACTGTCACTCCACAAATTCTCATCTGGCTACTCCTGCTCTTTTAGACTCCTCTTCCTCTGACCTCTTCACAGGTGATGAAGCACGCCATAAAGCTTTGTACTGAAATGGTATGCTTTCCCCAGGAAGACTGGGCCCACAGAACAATACAGCAATAACAAATTCTGGTGTGATTCCGGAACTTGCCAAATGTACTGGACTGACCTCAGGGGTCACCCAGCCCAACCTCTTTCCCAATAAAAAGAAAACAAACAAAATAAAACAACAATAACAAAAACAAATGAACCTTCCATTTAGTTCAGTGGACAAAAGCAGTCCATTGTCAGGCATTTAGTCATCTGTGAGTAGTATCATAAAAAATATTTGCCGTGATTGGATGGCTCAGTGAGTTTTTCTGTGTATGCCAAGTCTTTTTAATACCCCACTTCACCCTGAGGACATGGAGGCTAAGGGAGGCTCGGGCTAGGAGCCTAGGACTTGACTTCGGTATACAGGCTGGGGCTTGACTGACGGCAGCTCCTCCAAGGCCCAAGTTCACCTCCATTTTATACTCATCGGGTTAAGTTACAGGAGGCAAGTCTGGTTTCTGGAGCATGTTAGCACAGGATAGAATTTCTCAAGGAGCTGGGATAGCTATTTGAAAAGCAGCATTTAGTCATGCTGAGTTTGACCTTTGCACTTTGTGTGAAGAAAGAGTTTCTCTAAACAAAATAATAGTGCAAACCAAGCAGAGGGTCATGACAAACTGTAAGTATTTCATTACTTTCTGCAGAAATAAATGTTCTCTCTGAGTGAATTTTACCAATTTATTAAGGCTATAACAGCAGAATGTTTTTGTTGTTGTTGTTGTCTAAATACATTTAACATTTGTTGGCACATGTGTGATATTCTCAAGCCAATAATATCAGGGATCTTCCAAAATACTTTCTAAGTATCAATCAGTATCCTAGAACTCTCATGAAAAGACGGGGGGCACTGGCCGGGCGGAGAAGATATGTCAGGTTAAGGCTCCTAAGATGGGTTCGAAAGGGCCAGCAATGCTTGGGTCTGGCACAAACTTGCCTGTTTCTCTGTGATCCCTGACTCTGACTGTTTGCAAACCATGAACTCAAGGCTTCTTTTTAAACACTTAAGATCCAATTTATCATTAATCTACATTGGGCTTTCCACAGTTAGACCACTGTTCTCTGTATTATATTTTGCTGATAAGATAAGCTAAAGGTGGAATATTTCCAATATCGTCTTTGCCATCATACTCAGTAGTTAATAAGGAGAAAGGCTCTTTCGTGATTAAGTTTTTCTTGGTGTAAAAGTGTGTTTCACTTTTCGCCTATTGAAATGATATTATTTTCACGTGAATCTTCGCACAATTACATTGACTTAAAAACGTCTTTGCCTTTCTTAGGCTTTGGCCAGACAAGCCAAGATTGATTTTGAAGAACAAGCCATCAGAGAGAAGGAAATTCATGAACAGATTGCTGTGGAAAGAGCTCAAGCTCGTTACAAAAAGCATTACACTATATGTGCAGAAATTTTGGATCAAATACTTGATTTGTCCACTAAGGTGGCAGACTACCGAATGTTGACAAATAAGTAAGTGTTGTTTTTTATAATTGTTACAGTAGAGACATCACAGAAAGTGAGAAAGGATAAGATTGTAATGTAGACACTCAGTTGATAATAGAGACAAAAATTTTTCTTGAAAAAATACTAAGAAGTGGGGTCCAGGATACCTGGATTACTGACTTAATTCACCCACTGATGAGCCTTATTTAAGGTGTATTTATATGTCTTTTAACATTTAAACTTTATGTCTAAATTATAATTTACAAAGATAACTATGATAATTTATTTGAAACACTTGGAACTTCCTAAAAGACTGGAATTATTTGAAGATTACTGGTCATTAAATCTGTTTATTTTCGTTGCACCTTGTTTCTAAAAGGAATTAATGCATTTATAAGGAAATATTCAACAATACAAAATATATTAATAATATGCCAGAATAAGAACAAAGGAAAATCCAAATTAAAGTAGAAAGTTAAGAACAAGGGATAAACCAGAACACGGTTATATTAGCAGCAGGAGATTTTGCCACTTGCTGCAACTGAGCTGCAAATTTTATCTGAGCTTCCTGGTGGTCAAAGTATAAAGGGAAATACAGCCTGTCATGTGTTTTCCATTTTCTGTTCTGGTTCTTTACAAAATACAGAACTTTTCTTGGCACTCAGTTTACAACAATAGTTCACTCATGTGGTACCCTCACCTAAGGTACACTGAGTAGTGCTGTGGATCTAGTGGAGAGTGTCCTCAGCAACATCTTTTGAGCAAATGTATCATCTGGCTTCATAGACTTATTTCTTGTGATACTCTTTGCTGAGAGCTAAAGGGGAATGACATCACAGTAGATCTCAGTGAAAGTGATTCCACAAGGACAAAGATAAGGTGACCCATTTAAATGTGTACACATCTCAAAATTACCTAGACTGAGATCTTCTTGAGAACCCACTGTTTCTCACAGTGGCTGCACCAGTTTACATTCCCACCAACAGTACACACGGGTTCCCTTTTCTCCACATCCTTACTTTTTATTTCTTCTTTTTTTGATACCAGCCATTCTGACAGGTGTGAGGTGATATCTCATTGTGGTTTTGATTTGCATTTTCCTGATGATTAGTGATGTTGAGCATCTTTTCATGTACCTGTTGGCCATCTTTATGTCTACTTTGGAAAAATGTCTATTCAGATCCTCTGCCCATTTAAAAAATTGGATTGTGTGCTTTTTTTTTTTTGCTATTGAGTTGTATGAGTTCTTTATATTTTGGATATTATCAGGTATGTGATTTGCAAATGTTTTCCCCCATTCAGTAGATCGCCTTTTCTTTTTGTTGATTGTTTCCTTTGCCTTGCAGAATCTTTTAAGTTGGATAAAGTCATGCTTGCTTATTTTTGCTTTTGTTGCCTTTGCTTTTGGTATCAAATCCAAAAAATCATTGTCAAGACCAATATCAGAGAGCTTACTGCCTATGTTTTCTTTTAGGAGTTTTATGATTTCAGGTCTTACATTAGAGTCTTTAATCCATTTTTTGTGTATTGTATAAGTGTCTTTTAATTGCAATTGAACACAACAGTGACACATATATTATATTAGTCTAGACTGCTAAGAGTCAAGATAAAATCATGTTACTTCATTGAACAAGATATTATCAGTATCTATTTTTTTCTAAAGCTCAGGTATATTTTTGGTATCAACCTACTCAGAAGAACTGACTTTTTAGATTGCTTCTTAAAATTATTAATATTCAGATAATAGGATATTAACTAAGCAACTGTAAGATTAAGTTTTGGACAATTTATAAGTTATTAATCACTTCACCATAGAAACCAATGACATTTCAATAATTCTGATGTTATAATATTTCCATGCCTGAGCTTATCAATTTCTAAACTTCCATATCTCTACAAAGTAACCCTTAGCAACTGTAAATATTTTATTAATGGAAAACATAAGGTGATTATATTTGAAATTGTACATTTAATTGAAATACTACTTTTCTTATTGTGGCAAAACATACATAACATAAAATTTACCCTTCTAATCATTTTAGATATACTCTTCAGTGGCATAAGTACATTTACATTATTATGCAACTGTCACCACCATCCATCTCCAGAACTTTTTTATTATTCCAAACTGAAGCTCTGTACACATTTAATAACTCTCCAGCCCCTGATAAACCTCTGTTCTACTTTTGATCTCTGTGAGTTTGTCTATTCTGGGTATCTAATATAAATGAAGTTGTATATGATTTGTTCTTTTAGTGTCTGGCTTATTTCATTTAACCTAATGTCTTCACGTTTCATCCATGTGGCATGTATCAGACTGAAATAAATGAAAAACTGCTTGTTTTGTTGTAATTTCAAGTTCTAGTCCAACTATTTCTAGAGAAATGCATCAGAATCATGTCAGACTCTTTCCTTCCTTGCATTTTGTTCTTCTTGAAGCTATTTTCCCATCAGCCTGTCCTGATTACCTCTTAATCATTCATCAGATTTAAGTAGAAATAGTTACTGAAAAGTAATTTTAAAGGTTATCAAATAGACAATGACAATAAAACCACCATACATTTGATTTTTCTATTACAAATTATTTGCAAATGTGGAAACCAGCTGCCATCCTAAAAGGGCTTTGGAAAATACTCAGTCTGTTCATTTTGCACAGGAAGACACTAATAGTAGAGCATTTAAAGGATTTCCTAAGATTGCACAGCCATTTAATGGCATAGCTGGGAATTGTTTTAGAAGAACCTAAGTTTTAGGATAGTGCTCATTATTTTCAGATATATTGTTCTGTTAGTGCACAGTCAATATGAAAGTTTGAGGAACCAGTGGCTTGAAGTAACGTTGATTCATTCAAACCTACTAAGTCTGAAACGTTCTACTAGCCATTAGTAATATACAGTAATAGTAAGTGGAATTCCTAGCCTCAAACAGCAGACCATGGGGAATGAATATGATAATACAAAGACTAAGGTTTAAGGTGTATATTTGACTAACCATTGATTCATCTCAACCTTTTTTTAAATCTTTTTTGCTATAGTATGATTCCATATAAGTTGATGTATGACTGGAAGGAACTGTTTTTTAATGGAAAGCCCATATATGAGCAAGCCTCCATTAAGCATCTACCAGCTAAGCCCTCTGCAGAACAACTTACAGAACTGGATAAGAGGGACTTGCTCGATAGCAATGATTATGAAGAATATAAGGTACTTACTAGTAGGGAATAATGAGAGAGAATGCAACATAATACATGGTGTTTCTTTAACATTAATTTTATGACATGTTATTTTCATCCCTATTAATAAAAATGGACTTTTTATATTTGGCTTTTCCCTTGGTTTAATTTGTATTTATATACTGAGTTTTAAATGCCTAGCCTATTCATAATCTGTTATCTGTTACTCCCAGTAATAGTAGGAGAGTGGTCTGAAAAAAATAAAACATAATACATCGTTAGGGCTGATAGATTTTAGAATTTTTTAAATATTTTAATTTATTCATTAGCATTTTCTTTGTATGAGCTGTCTACCTTTGCTACAAAAACCCTTGCATAAAGATATTTCTTTAGTAATTTATTTAAATAGTATGTAGTTTTTAGAGGCATGTGGAAGAGTAGAAGGTCTGAGTTTTAGGAGTAGCATAGATTCAAGCAAAACATTATTGAGAGATTTGAAAAAGTGAGGGGTGACACTTGTGCTTAAAGAGCTGCTTAAAAGCCTTTGGGGTCAGGCAGACCAAGGTAAAACCTAGGCAGCCTGGGAGAGACTCAGTTTCCCAAGTTATGAAATGGGGATAAAAACATACCTACTTTATTTTGTTGTTATGAAGCTTATTTAAGGTAATACATGTTAAATACTTAGTCAAGTGCACTGCATGTTGGATACAAATAGTACATATTAATTTCTTTCCTCACCGCCCTGCTCTCCCCACTGAATTTCATCTCACCTTTAGGAAGAAAGATGTAAAATTAATAGCTATCAGATGGCAGTTCTAGGTAAATGCGCATCAATGGAATGAAGAATGAGGCCCATGATTTTATCACTGAATGACATTTAGAAGGGTAGTAAGTGCAACATGAAAAATTGAGAAGGAAGAACGATTTGACCTAATCATTTGCTGATATTTAGCAAATACACAGTAAATGTTTGTCAAAAGGATGCATGAATAAAATGAATGAATGACAATGAACAGGGCAAAGTGTGAAATAGCACTAATATGTAAATATTGAAAAAAGATAGATTTATGGGGGCAGCTGGGTGGCTCAGTTGGTTAAGTATCCGACTTTTGATCTCAGCTCAGGTCTTGATTTGGGGTGGTGGGCTCAAGCCCCACTCTGGGCTCCATGCTGGACATGGAGCCTACTTAAAATAAAAAAATTTAAAAAATTTTTAAAAAGATAAATTTATGATAAAATGATAAAGAAAAAAGTGAGCTTATGACAAATTGAATGTACATCATTGTAATTGGATGAATCTATATTTGTATCATTAAGAGAATTTTTATTTAAGAATTGACTAGAACTTTACGGGATATCCATGCATATTTATGTTGTATGGTTGTGGAATATAGTAGATCTAGTGTGTCAACCTAAAATATCATGCTACATAATAAATGCTCTGACAATAGTAAAATATGTGAAGGTATTTTTTTCTGTTGTAAATTAAAAGTCATTTTATTTGACAGATTTTACTAATGTATAGAATATTTATTTCTAAGCATTTTCTTTAACAGCTCTATCTACTCTATTCTTATTGCTTTCATAAATCAGGAGACCTGGTAGTCTGCAGCTTAGCAAAGATTTGCCTTTCTAACTTTTTTCTTGTTTGGGAAATCATTACCACAGGAGCATGCTTGTCTTACCCACATCCTGAAGCAGCTGGTATGTTTCTTTTGCAGGAAATTATAAACTTTTGTTAGGAGTATGTGACCGTCTAGCAATACAGTTTATTTTGTTTATAGCCTTTGCTGTTTTCCTAGAAATGAAAATTACCCTAGGATTTCTGATATATGTTTGTATGCTCTGTTCCTTTTGACTGCATGATAGAAAATAGACCATACACAGGTATCAGGATATTACTGTAAACTATCCTATTATCATTCCGTTATTAGACCTTTTGTCTCTTTAGAAACTTGTTATATGTTCCTGCATATAAGTAAAAAATAAATGCTTCAACTTGTAAACTGTATTATCTGGCGTAAATAGCCTTTCATAGGAGGAAGAGGGGCAACAATTGGCGGCTTAGCTAAAGGAAACCATTGTCCACATTTATCACTGCTAAATGTACTCAGGATTTTTAATCCTTCAAGTAAATGCATAACTTAGAAATTAGTCTCCGAAGGGTTTACATTCTTAGCATACTCTATTGTTGCACCCAGACCCAGCATCCTGAAAGAACGGATACAGCCGGGCTTCGAGCCCACACTTTTAAAGCTCTGTCAGCGTAAGCTATGTTGCTTAAAATTTTTAAATATTACACCTAGAAATAGGCATAAAAACAAATTTTTGCTCATGTACACATCTTATAGAGGCTAAAATTTGACCCTTATCGCTTAACATCATTTCCTAAATCATCACTTTATAAACTGGGTACACATGAGAGAGGTCTAGTTTAAGAGTGGTCTGGCCAAGGACATCATTTATCTCTCCCAAGAGGAAGCAGGAACAGCCCCATGGAGCAGCCAGGACATCCACTGTTATAGGATAACCATGAGCTATTCAGCCGAGAGTGGGGAGGAGACTGAAGACCCAGTGGACATGGGCAGCAGCCTAAGCCAGGAGCCCAAATGCTTGAGAGCATCAGCCGTTCCAGAACATCCCCACCCAACAGCTAGTGGTTCTCGACTGTGCAGTGGACTCCTCCTAGTAAATCCCAAACTTCCCCAAATGCAGGTCCCTGTCATGATTCTTACTGGCAAATTACCCAGAATTCCATAGCATTTGATTTTTAGAGCAGCTGCTTATTAGCAGCTACCTACTGAATGAGTTTGGGAGTTACTAAAATTGGGTCTTCATAAACTAAAATTTGGCCATGCCTTCTTGAAGACACAGATTTTTCTAAGTCTCCGCCACAAAGCACTTGGCAATTTGTGGAGATCTGCTGTGCATGCCCACAAACAAGTTGTAGTTGGAATTACCATTTTGGAGGAAGGATCATCAATGTTGTTGCAAGCTGGTCATGGTTTTTAACCGCTGTGTTTTTTGTTTTTAATGAAAACTTGCTGTTTAAATTCACGATCGGTTGAGGTTACTTGGTTGTTGGGTTAACCCTACAGTGTGTGTTGTAATGCACATTTTTATCAATAACACTTTTGGCTTATGATTTTCCACTAACTGAACTTTGAAGATGTGCTTGTATATGTTATGGTTTAACACCAATACTTCTGTCACTGCAGCAGATGTATACATACTCATCTCCAAATTTGTTTATACAATGGCTTATTACCAGGTCTTTTTCCCCTGGAGAATAGGAATGTGAGACTAAATGGGCTATGGATTGTTTCTTTCCTACATAAGTCTCATCTGATTTGCTTGACCCAAAGACTCCAGATTCTATCTTGTTCTTACTCTTTAACTCCAGGCTTTAGTATTGATCCAATGGCTTTCTAGACTCAGCTTCTGACAGTAGATCTCCAGCTTAGCTCTTGCCTTGTTCCCTGGTTTCCCAGTGAATGACCCAGTCTTTGCAGTGTATTATTTAATCAGTTCCCTTATGAATAGAATACTAACTTGAAGCCTGTATCACTCAAGTGATATGGGTAACTGACTCAAGTACACTGATTAATTTTAGTAGATAGTGTGAATAGGTCATTATTATTTTTATTTACTTAAAAGGTATGTGTTGTATTAGCTCAGGCTGCAATAAGAAAATACTATAGACTGGGTGGCTTAAACAACCAGAATTCATTTCTCACAGTTCCAGAAAGTCCAAGTTCAGGATGCCAGCTAATTCAGTTCTTTGGTGAGGACTCTCTTCCTGACTTGCTGATGGCTACCTCCCTGTGTCCTTACATGAACAGAGAGAGAGAGAACTCTGGTCTGCCTTCTTAAAGGACCCTAATCCCATCACGGGGGCCCCAATCTCATAAACTCTTCTAAACCTAATTACTTCCCCAAAGCTCTGCCTCCAAATACCATCACAGTGGGGTTAAGGCCTCAACATATGAATTTTGGAGGCACACAATTCATTTCATAACATACATGTTTATTCAGGACACATAAAATGTCTCAAAGTACAAACTTGCCAGTCAAGTATAGGAACCCTTGATTTCAAATGAAATTGTTTTATTGCTGTTTATCCCCTGCTGAGAAAGAAGTCTTAACACCTTGTCTTTTGACTATGGAGATGTGTTTATATCTTTTGTTTCTAGACCTGCAGGAATGTAGCCTTTTAAATAGAGTAAGCAGTTGCTTTCACATTCTTGGTTGAGATGTTCTGTTAGGCATTCTACTTTGAAACTTCTGCCTGCCATTGTACCTGATGCCCCACATTATCACTCATTTGGATTAAGACTTCAGAGGTATCTGTTAAAACACAAACACTTCCCAAGATAAGGAACAAGAATCATGATCAACATCCAAATAGCTAGGAAAGAAGTTTAATACTGAAAGGAATGTTCTCACTATCATTCTAGTTTAGTTTGTATGTCATACATTTCATAGCTTCAGTTTCTTCTGCCCTTTTGCTTAGAGTTTTGCCTCCAACCCCCTAAATTTCTCCCATAATAGTAAGGTTACCTGGCTGGACTTTTCGGACTAAGCCTCATTATGTGGCTGTGTCTTGGTGAAATCACAAGTATGCCCTAGAATAGTGATTCATGTAGTCATCCATAGTGATAATAACTTACAGAACAGAATGTCCATGTATTGGTTTTCAAAAGGAGCCATAGTTGCCCTAGGCCTGTGGTAGCCAAGAAACAAGGCTGTCTTCTAACTGCTGTGGATCAAGGGTTTCAGAGAGCTGGAATAGGTTTGGCAGAAGTCTGGGACTTCTGTCTGTGGGATGAGGGAATGGAAGGGGACCTTAGGTCACGGGAAGGGTATTTCACTTTAAATGACTAGAACTGGTGACAACCTAACTTCATTAGAGAACCATGGTAGGAATGGTTGAATTAAGGTATCAAGTCCAAGGCATTAGACCAGAATTAAGAAATGGTTTACAAAGCCAAAGGATTGGGGTGAGAATGAGGGGTGAGAAGGATATAGTCA